AACCCCACCTAAGAGCCCATGGCCCGGGGCCACTGCTGACCGGTGGGGCTGTTCTTGGGTCCCCAGGTATGGGCAGCAGGCGCAGGGGTGCCCCACAGCCCACCCTCGACGCTCGTGTGGAAGAGCCAGAGCAGCTGGGACACCGGCGAGAGCTTCCGCACCGTCCTGGTCAATGCCGATGGGGAGGTGGGTGCTGGGGCTGGGGGGCTGGGGGCTGCATCTCCTGGGCCCACTTCTGGTGGCATCTGCCGGGGGGCCACAGTGAGGCTGAGCATGGTGGCCCTCGCCTGGCACAGGAAGTGGCTGTGAGAGCGGTGAAGCAGACCTCAGGCCTGCAGGAGAACGGGGAGGAGGAGGAGGAGGAGGCTGAGTTCGGCGAGGAAGACCTTTTCCACCAACAGGTAGAGCCCTGCGGGGGGGGGGGTATGCAGATTCGAGTCCCTCCTGAAGTTGAGCTGGCGCAGCCCCAGCTCTGCCATCAGCGAGCTGCTTACACAGTGGCTTTGGGGAAGGTGGAGTCTGGGAATCCCGCTATGTTAAATGCTCACTCAGTGACTCCTCTGACTTCAGCACCGTGAGTGTGGGAGGCGTAGTGTGGCTCAGGCCAGGCGGACGGAGGGGCCGGTGAGGGGAACAGGGACCGTAGTGAGCAGCGATGCGTGGGGCACTGGGCCTCCCGCCGGCCTGACACCACCACCCTCTTCTCCCCTCCTTCCTGCAGGGCGACCCTCGGACTGTGGCGAGGGGCTGCCGGCTGATGTGACCAGCGACACCCTCGAGCACTCCTGCGGCCCTGGGGACTGTTTTGCTACCACGACTTTCATTTGTCCTGGACACATTTCTAGCCGGTGTACCGCCAGCACATGGGAGGGAGGGAGGGAGGGAGGGAGGGTCTCTGCAGCGCTTTCCTGTGGGTGGCCGGTGGTGTCCCGGGACCATCCCTTCGTCACCCCTTCTCTGCTGTCCAGGCTTTTGGTCCCTCCTCACCCCAAGTTGGCCACTAGGTTGAATATGAGGTTTGGGGCCAGGACCTGGAGGTCAGGAAGGTGGGGCTGCCGTTGGGGATGGGGGTGAAGCGGTATGGGGATTCCATAGCTGTGGGGTTTGTTCTTTTTAAAGCTGTTGCAGAACTAAAATCAGAAACCGGTTCCGACCTGGTGTGGAGGTGTTGGGGTCACCGACCTGTCATGATTGGGTGGCACCCGGGGACCAAGAGCGGGGAGTGGCCTGGGCCCAGACACCTGTGGTGACTCCGGTTTCTGGAGCTGCTCCCACAGCTCTTGCCCTGACCCTGCAGGACCCACGGGCAGGAAAGGAGGGAGCTGGGGAATGGGGACCTTGCCGTTCCAAGCCTTGTCACCATGATGCAAGGAGGGGACAAAGCCAGGGACAAGTGGCTTGTGTCTGGGACCCCCAGAGACGAGTGACACGGGGCGGCCCTGGGTCAGAGGGCTGTAGCCCCGCCCTGTCTGCTGGGTACACAGTAGGCATAGCGAGAGCGCCACTTCCTCTGTGACCTCCTCCGAGGTTACAGTTCTCAGCCGACACCTAAACGCCAAGTGACCCCATCTGGATGGCTCCACATTGCAGCCCAGTCTGGGCCCGGATGACCCCTTCCTGCAGTCACCACTTACCCTGCCACGCAGATACACAGAAGTTATTTTTTTAACGGATATTTATTTTTTTACATAGGTCAGTACGCAGGTCACGGGGTGCTGCTCCAAGGGCTCCTGCCACCCTCCCCGCGGTGGCACAAGGACAGGGACCTGTCCAGGGAGCTCTGTGCCCCGAATGGCCAACTTCCTTCAGAAAGTGCAGCTGGAGTCTTTCCGACACCCGCACTGAGCCATGGCTGCCTGCTGTTCGAGGAAGGCGGCTGAGCAGCTCTCCCAGCTCTCCTGTCCCCCAGGGTCTGGCATGCTCTCCTTGGGAGCTGCTCTTGGCAGGGAAGGAGCCAGTGACAGACGTCACCGCTGGCAGCCCTAGGGCCTGCTGCCACCCTTGCTGTTAGAAGTCCCTGGTCCCACACGGTGACCAAGGCCCGGGGTGTGGGCTGTTTTCCCGGGCGGAGGGAACCGTGCCTCACCCACAGCCTCTCACCAAGGTCGGGTAGGCTGCACTGCCCGAGTGGGGCTGCTGGAGCGCTTGGCCTGCCTGGCTTCAGACGCGACCTCCTCTACCCCGACCTGTCGCCCTTTTGGGGTCACTGGGTGCCCTTGCTGAGGAGAAGGTGGGGTGCCAGGTGGGCGGCTGGTGCTGGAGGTTGATGTCGCTAGACACCAAGCATTC